CCCTTTCTTTATTCAAATGACATGTAATTATTTCCTGGTATATGAGTCATCTACAATGTTTTCCGGTGGATATTGTATCCAAATCAACCAGAGAACATGCAATAAATAATCTGTGTTCTGTTATAGTACCTCTTTTGTCTATTACAAAAGACCTGGCTGCACCCCTGCAGGAAAAGTTTTCTTTTTTCCTTATACAATTATATAACCTACAACCACTTTTAAAGTATCCACATACAGTATTAGGAAGGAAGGAAAATCACTTTGACAAAAACATATTTTAATATTTTGGTGGCCATACTTTCATGCATTTCTTTATTCTTATGTACACTTCATGTATATATAAAAATTTTAACATACAATTATTTTTTTTATTTCTTCGACAAGACGGTGAGCGAGGGAGACAGCTAGACAGGGAACCCAACAAGGTCTTCACACCACAATAAAACCCCAATTTCTGCTGGCCCAGATCATGAGCAGTGACCAGCATGCTCAGTAAGATCTGGGGATTCAAATCTGGGACCTTTTCCATATGGGTCTAACTGTGCCACCACCTGGCCCCAACACAAATTTTTCAGGTAAAATTTTATTAGATGTCAGAACAATATACCTTGGAGAAAAACTGAAAAGCTAAAAAACAAACAAACAAACAAAAAACTAAAAACATCACAATCCCACTACCAGTATCTAAATCAAATATTTTGTTAACCAATTTATGTTCGTCAACAACTACCACTCCCAAATCATTATCCAACCCAAGACCACATATAACATCTGGTTATGACCCTTACTTATTTTCATGTTTTTCTTTTGACAAGGTCCCTATGTTGCCCACGCAGGTTGTAAGCTTCCAATCTTCCTGTCTCAGCCTTGAGGTTAGCTAGGAACACAAGCTGCTAGAGTAGACTGAGAAAGGAACCCAAGCCTCACATATGGTCTCAGCCTACAGAGTGACAGTGTCATCCAGGACAGGCTACCAAACTGGGCCATTATATCTTTTCAATCATGGAACTTAAGAAAAAAACAGAAAAACTCCTTACAGACATCAGATCAACTGAAGTACAAAGTTCCTGGATATGAACAATTGTTGTCTCAAGAAGACAGAGTTTATTCTTCTAAGTTTCCATTTCCTGCAACCTGGAAGTTCTGGCTGATGGATCAGTGGATTCAAGTCAAATACTTCAGAGCAGTATATCATGTGATATGTTATACTTCATGTTTCATTATATTAGATAGAACAATATTGGATCTAACATAATGATGCTAATGTTGACCACTGAATTTGTGATGACATGTGTTCTGTTTGAGTCCATTTTTTAAAAAGAATTATTTTATTTAACTTTATTTATTTATTTATTTAAATTTAACCAGAGGGGGACAGAGTGATAGAGAGAGAGCAAGTGAGAAAGCAAGTCGCCAGGTCTGGGAATCAAACTGTGGTCTACCAGGTGGGAGTCCAGTGGCCTTAAACACCATGCCACCTGCTGGACCCCCATTGTTTTTTTAAGAGATATTTGCTATAGGGTGCATGCACTTGCAGGAGAGTCAGAAAAAGAGACTGAGAAAGTGAGAAATCACACCCCCCCACCCCCCCAGGGAGGATGGCTGCAATCCTTTCTCCTCCATTATCCTTTCAGGATTTTGAACACACACACACATTCACCTGGCCTGAGTTTGAAGCCACTGGGTTCAAGACTCAAACCATAGTTGGCCATATGGAAGTTCAGAGCCTTCACCACCACACTGCCTGCTTGCCTCATTTGAGTTCACTTTAAAAACTGATTTTTATGATCTATTTCATTGCCTACCAATGCCATATATTAGAAGATGATTATCCCTTATCTGAAATGCTTGGGACTAGAAGTGTTACAGATTTCAGAGTTTAAATTTTTTTTTTTGTATTTTTGGAATATCAGCATATATATAAAGACCACTCTTAGGGATGGGAACCAAGCATAAATAAAAAATTCACATATACCTACACACTTAATCTGAAGGTAATTTTTAAAATATATATTTATTCAATTTCATTTATTCATTCATTTATTTCAATTTGACCAGAGAGAGAGAGACACAGGAAAGAGAGGCAAAGTGAGAAACCAAGCCAACAGGTCTGGGATTCAAAGAATGGTTGGCCATGTGGGAGTGTCCCGTGCCTTAACCACCATGCCACCTGCTGGATCTCACTGAAAGTAATTTTTTACCATACTTTTATATTGCAGCATTTTGACTATGACTTGTCACATGAAGTGACAATATTTTCCACTTGTGTGACATCGGTGCTCAGCAACTTTTGGATTTTGAAGCATTTCATACTTCTGATTTGCAGATAAGGGGTTAAACCTATCTATCTTATTCCAGTCACAGAAAACTAACTTTGGCTTCCAAATATCCTCTCAACTTTTTTCAGCAGGTGGCTTTGTATCTCAGAACATATGATTGCAGTACATTGCAGAACATGGGGTTGCTATGAAAGAAAGCAAAGTAGTAAAATGTAACCAGAATGCAAAGATTCTTTATAGCTAACATAAGGAAACTGAAGTTCAATCTATAGACACAGAAATAGCCTTGGATATTTTGAAGGGTAGTGACAATATCAGATTTGATTTAGTTTTTCATATCACTCTGGTAAGACTAGAGCAGAAAAAAGAAATAGCTTGAAAGATGTCTAGGATCAGGAAGGCTTGAATTAAAGAAGTTGAAAGGAAAAAAGGAACCAGGGTTCAAGAGGTATTTTTAAAAAGAAATACTTTAGGTTCACTGATTCTTCTGCTTGCTGAGCTCTGCTTTAGACCCCTCTAATGAATTTCTCATTTCAATTACTATATTTTTTTCAACGCCAGAATTTCATTCTGGTGACTTTTTATAATTTGTATCGTTAGGATCAGCCCACAACATGGTGGTTAAGGTGGCTGGATCTTATATGGCTGACCAGGTGGTCTGAGTCTTACAGTTTCTGTTGATTTATTTTGATTTTTTAAATGGTGCATACTTTCTTGTTACTTTGTTATGTCCTGTGATTTTTTTTTTTTTTTTAATGATGTTGTTGTTGAAAACTGGGTATATGGGACCAGTTCCATGACATGGTGGTTTAGGCAGTCAGATCCCACAGGGTCAAAGATATGGCTTGAATTATGACCCAGGAGCATGAAAAACACACCAGGTACATGTGCATGTGTGCCCCCAATCCAGACAGTGTGGAGAAACTGGGGAGAAGGGATTGCAGCAAGATCATATCCTGCAGGGGGGAGGGTGCTTTCTCACTCTCCCTATTTTTCTCTGTGTCTCTTGAAGTACTGGTACCTTCAAGCAAATTAAAAATAAGAAAAAAAAAAAAACTGGATTATTTTAATCTTATAATATAACGAGTCAGATTATCCCTTTACTCCCAATTGCTGCTTATGTTGGTGTTTTTAATTTTCCCTGTGCTATGGATCAGGATTTACTTAAGATGAAAGTTTAAGGTCTTCTCAGACCTTTCTAAGCCTGTGTCTTTCCTTGGTTAATATGCAGTAGCTTTTCATTTTCCCTTCTAGCTCCCATTTAAGAGGCTGCTTTTAAATACCCTAACCCTTAAATGTCTAGCTCCCAAATGGGGTAAAAGAGAAACAAACAAAATGGGTGCTGTTCTTTACAACCTTGGAGGCTGGTTCAATAAGTAGGGGTTGAAACAATGGCAGTTACTTCTGTGCCTGCACCTCAAGTTATCAAATAAGCAATCAGTGATCAGAACACAGATAGTCAGTATTTGTAGAACAAAGTTCTTATTGCCAGTCTTGGCTCCAGCAAACCACCCTAGGAATGTGGAACATCTGCCTGCCACAAGGTTGGTAGACAGGGAATAGGTAGCTACTATCACACTAAAGGCTGACAGTGTCTATAGTTAATCTAATTTACCTTCTAAGCTTTCCCCCTGGAAGATGCAAGCATTCAGAGTCCAAAGTTTCAAAATAGGTACTTCAGAGTTTATGCCAGTACAGTTGTTGTCTGGATGAAGAGAAGGATTCTTTGTTCTTCCTACTCCATCTGAGAAACAGAAAGGAAAACAAAATGAAGAAAAGTAAACAATACAGACTGTAAGGTACCTGTGGGGCATCATCAAGAGGGCAAACTTATGAATTGTGGGAGTTCCAAAGAGAAAAGACAGAGAAAGGACAGAAAGTATATTTGTGAAAATAATGGGCAAAAATGTCTCAAATCCTGAATGATACAGGATACAAGCTAAGAAAGCAAGAAGTAGAGAATACTTAAGAGAAACCAATCTAGACCACACACATTATAAACTGTTAAAAGCCAAAGAAAAGAAAACTTTAAAAGCAGCAGGAGGGAAGCATCCTGTCACATACTAGGGATCCTCAATAAGATTACAGACTAATCATGGCACCAGCAGGTGGCATAATGGTTGTGGCTGGACTCCCATGTAGTTGACCACAGTTCAAGCCCTGGAACCTGTGGCTTAAACTCACATCAGGTGCACGTGTATGCACACCCCAAATCCAGAGAGGAGCAAAGAGGGGAAGGGATTGTGGTGTGGCTATCCCCTCTGGGGGTGGTTTCTCGCTTTCTGTCTCCGACTCTCCTGCAAGCAAAAATCTCTCTTAATAAAAAAAAAGGGACCAGCAGATGGTGTAATGGTTACGTCACTGGACTCCCAGGTCATCAACTGTGGTTCAAGTCCCGGACCCAGTGGCTTAAAACTCACACCAAGTGCATGTGCGTGCAAGCCCAAGATCACAGGAGGAGAATGGAAGAGAAGAGACTGCAGTGTGGCCATTCCCCCCTTGGGAAGTTAATTCTCACTCTGTCTCTCTATCTGCCTCTGTCTCTCCAGCAAATGTATTGGACCCTACTGCAAAAAACTCTCTTTAAAAAACTATATATATATATATATATACACCAATATCCACGGTTCAAGTCCCAGACCCGGTGGCTTAAACTCACGCCGGGCGTGTGTGCGTGCATGCCAAAGATCCCGAGAGGAGAATGGAGAAGAAGGGATTGCGGCATGGCCATACCCCTGGGGAGTGATTTCTCGTGTTCTGTCTCTCTGTCTGTCTGGCGAACGCACGCACCCTATAACAAAAACCTCTCCAAACAAACAAACAAACAGAAACTATATATATACCAATCTCTAATCTGAAACCTTGTAAGTCAAAGGAAAAAAACTGACATATTCAAAGTGCTAAAGGAAAAAAATGTGTCAATGATAAACTCTCTATCTGCAAAACTGTCCTTCAAAAATGAGGGAGAAATTAAAAGACTCCTAATAAGCAAAAGCCAAGCAAGTTCACTACCACTGAACTTGACACAAAACCTTCATGAAATACTAAAAAAATCTTTCAGGTTGAAATGAAAGGACATTCAACAGTAACTCTAAGCCATATGGAGAAATATAGATCTCTGGTAAACATAAACACTAAATGAGATTCCCATGGTAACCCAAAGAAAGTATCTATAGAATATACACAAAAGGAAATGAGAGGGGAAGTAAATGTTTTCGTGACAGAAAAATCAACTAAACAAAATAGAGAAAAACGTGTACTTTTAAAAAATAACAAAATGGGGGCCGGCAGGTGGCATGGTAGTTAAGCTGGCTAGATTCTCACATGGCTGATCATGGTTCGAGTCCCGGATCTGGCAGCTTGTTTTTCCTGTTACTTATTTCTTTTTGTCTCTCTCTGGTCAACTTCAAAAAGAGAAAATAAAATAATGACAATGAAAAATAATTAAATAATTATTTAAAAAATAGTAAAATCAAAGATAAAAGTCCTTCCTTATCGATAATCATTTTAAACGTGACTGATTTAATTCTCTAGTCAAAAGATAGACGTGGACAAATGGATTAAAAAATTAGATCCAGGATCAGCAAATAGTGTAACGGTTACATCACTGGACTCCCACGTAGCTGATCAAGGTTCGAGTCCTGGACCCAGTGGCTTAAAACTCACACCAGGCACGTGTGCGCGTGTGCCCAAAATCCCAAGAGGAGAGTGGAGGAGAAGGGAATGCAGCATGGCCATCCTCCTGGGTGGTGATTTCTCACTTTCTGTCTCTGGCAAGTGCATGCACCCTACAGCAAAAAATCTCTCTTAAAAAAAAAAAAAAAAGTGATGGATCCAGGTCACCCCAGTAGCACAGCAATTAAGCTGTATGGAGGAAACTGAATTCTATATGGCTGACCATGTTTCAGGTCCAGCCCTCCAGCCCCAGTAGTCTGAAAAATTCATTGAGCACATGTGCCCAGGATTGTGACAGGATGGAAAACTGGAAGAAAATGGATTGCAGCATGACTATGCCTTGTTGCAGGGTGCTTCCTTGTCAGTCTCTCTTTCTCATTCATACACCCTCTGGCATTAAAATACATGTGTCTATATGTATATGTGTATACATATTATATACACATATATGATAACATATATGTACAAATTACATGCATGTGTATACATATTTTATATATATGTATATATATATATCACATGTATGCGATCTAACTATATACTATCTACAGGAGATCAACTTTAGATTTAAAGACACAAATTGCAAGAGAAAAAATAGAAAAAGATATTCCATGCAAATAGTTAACAAAAGAGCTGGAGTGGTTATATGAAGGTTAGAAAAAAACAGACTTTAAATTTTAAAAACATTACAAGAGACAAACTATTACATATTAATAAAAGGTGCAATAGAGGAAGATTACATAAAAATTATAAATATTTGGAGCCAGCAAGTGGTGTACTGGTTAGGGAGGGTCCTGCACTCCCACGTAGTCGACCACGGTTCAAGTTCTGGACCCAGTGGTTTGAAACTCACACAGGTGTTGACTGCCGTTCGAGTCCTGGACCTAGTGGCTTAAAACTCACACCGGGCATGTGTGTGCATGCATGTCCAAAATCCCAAGAGGAGAATGGAAGAGGAGAGATTGTGGTGTGGCCATACCCCCAAGGGGTGATTTCTTGCTTTCTTTCTCTCTTTCTCTCTCTCTCTTCCTGGCAAGAGCAAGCACCCTTATAGCAAAAATCTGTCTCTTAAGAAATTACACATATTTACATTGCTAGTAATAAACTCTCAAAATACATAAACCCAAAATTGACAGCACTGGGGCCAGCAGGTAGCATGATAATTAAGGTAACGAATTCCTACATGGCCGACAGCATGGTTTGAGTCCCAGACCTAGAGGTTTGAAAATCATGCCAGGTGCATGTGAATGCATGACCAAAATTCCAAGAGAATGGAGAAAATGTATTACAGTGTGGCCAATCCCCTTAGAGGGTGATTTCTTACTTTCTCTCTCTCCTTATCTCTCTCCAATTAGGCACGTACACCACATGACAAAAATCTAAAAAAGAAAATAAAAGTGGTGCCAGCAGGTGGCATGGTGGTTAAGGTACTAGACTCCTACATGTCCAACTGCAGTTCAAGTCCCAGACCTGGTGGCTTGAAAATTATACCAGGCACATGTGTATACCTGCCCAAAAATCCCAGGAGGAGAGTGCAGGAGAAGGTATTGTGGCATGGCCATCATTCTACCCTCCCACCTCCAACTGCCATTATGCACCCTTCTCTCCAGTGAGTACATGTACCCTTTGACAAAATCCTTTAAAAAAAAAAGAAAAGAATGTCTCAATAGACCCCTAACAATTAAGAGATTGTATTGGTAATTAAAACTCCCAATAAGGAAAAATCCTGCATCACATGGTTCACCAGTTAATTCTACTACATTTTTAAGGAAGGTTTAACAACAATCTTTCTCAATCTCTTGCAAAAA